TTTAAAAGTTCTGAAACACACTCCTAAATAGCATTTCATTCAGCACTTAGAGATGCTCCACTATAGCCACCCCCTTGTCCTGCTGACCTGCACTGAGGTGCTACTCCCAAGATGCACATGAGACGGCAGGGGAGGAGCACTTCAATTATTTTTTACATGAACCTGCTGGACTATGAAGCAGGTTTCAACTAACTTCAAAGAATTGAAATTATATACAAAATGTTTCTTGTTGTCATTGTAGTTAATCCAGAAATCAGGAACAGAGGTACCTAGAAACTCCTTATATTTAAAAGTTGTGAAATACACGTCTAACCCAAAAAATACATCACAATTCAAGTTAAAAAATAAGTCAAACTGAATGATAATACCACATACCAAAACTTATGAAAAAATGTGCACTCATAAATGCACATATTAGGAATAAAAGTTGAAAATTTACATTTCTTGCAGCCATATTAAAATCTAAAATAGTAAATTAAATAGAGAGAAAAGAGAAGAAAGAAAATGTGCACAAGTAGAGATGTCTGAAGGGGGATATACTTAAAATGATAGCAGTTTTTTTAACTCTTAGGGTAGAATTTTGAATTAACTCTATATTTTATTGCTTAAGTAAACTGCACACACAAAGCTATTTTCATTTTAGGAAAAATGTTCTAGAGGAAAACATGGGATAATCTACACTAATAAAAGAGAAACATGCAAATTGGTGTCACTCCGCTACACCCACCCGCCAATCAGATCAACTATGCAAATTAACCCAACAAATATGGCAGTTAATTTGCATACGCAGGTGTGGAGCGAAGACGCAGCCGCAGCAGAGAAGCCAAGCCTATCTGCAGCCGGACCAAAGGCCTGGGTCCTGGGTGCCGGAGGAAAACCGGTGCTGGCAGCCAAGGGAAGGAAGGCCTATTGTGCGAATCTTTGTGCAACGGGCTTCTAGTCCTATAATAAAAGGTTAATATGCAAACTGACCAAATGGCAGAACAACTGGTTGCTATGATATGCACTGACCACCAGGGGACAGATGCTCAATGAAGGAGCTGCCCCCTGGTGGTCAGTGTGCTCCCACAGGGGGCAAGCTGCTCAACCAGAAGATGGGCTCACCACTGAGTGCAGCAGTGGTGGCGGGAGCCTCTCCCACCTCCACAGTAGTGCTAAGGATGTCCAACTGACAGCTTAGGCCCCTCAGTAGGACATCCCCGGAGGGTTCCCGGACTGCAAGAGGGAGCAGGCTGGGCTGAGGGGACACCCCCCCCCCCACAAATTTCATGCATGACCTCTAGTTTATAAATGATAAGCTAGACTGTTGTGATGGCAACACAAGTTTTTTCTTTGCTCACCAAGCCTGGTCTCTTAGTCTAAAGAGAATAAAAATTCTTCCTAATTGTTTAGCCCAAAGTGGCTCCTTTCATAATCTGCACCTCTTCATGTGCAATCCCAGCAGTTCTGAGAAAGGGAACCCCTAAAGCTTGGAGTCCCTGGAATCTACCTGAGCCTGGTTCTAACATTTATAAGCAATGTTCTTTTGAACACAGAACAGATTTCTCAGGGTTTTCATTTTGTAACTTGGAAAAAATCCTTTTTTTCTTTTTGGCTAGTCCTCACCTGAGAATATTTTCTCCATTAATCTTTAAAGAGTGGAAGGGAGGAAGGGAGCAGGAAAAAGAGAGAAAAGTCAATGTGAGGGAGACACATCGATTATTTGCCTCCTGTACTCATGGGGGATCAAACCTACAACTCAGGTATATGCCCTTGACTGGGAATCAAACCTGCGACTCTTCCCATGCGGGCTGACCCTCTAACCACTGAACAATACCAGCCAGGCCAAATTCTCCTGTGTTATAGCTTAGAACATTTATTGCTGACAGACTGAGCCTCAGTGCCTTCCCTCTGCCTCCAGAGAGACTATAAGATGGGACCACGCAGCTCACTAGACTGACAGGGAAGCAGTGCACTCCAGATGCTGGTGGTCAGCTGCAGGACATGCTCATGAAAAGTGGTCCCACAGGAAATGTTCACTAATGTCCACCTGCCTCTCGAATCAGGAAAAATCCTGCTAGTCGTCCTGTATCTGTGACCTACTGTTTGCCCCATGTCCCAACACCATCTACATTAATAAAAGACAAAGATGCTAATTGACAGTACCTTTGCTAAGCCATAAGCCACGCCCACCAGCCAATCAGAGCGACTATATGCAAATTAACCCAACCAAGATGGCAGCCGGCAGCCACGAAGCTGGAGCAAGCAGGAGGCTTGGTTGCCCAGGCAAAGGAGGAAGCCAAGCTTCCCGCGTGCCCTGAGCTGGCTGTGGCCTCTGCAAAAGGCAACAAAGTTTCAATTATAGAAGCTAAATAAATCCCAGATACCTGCTTCCAGCAAGCCTCCACTGGAAGCTTGGGTGGCTGGGGGCCATGGCCAGCCTGAAAACGGCCCTCAGCCCCTCCCCAGGCTGGCCAGGCACCCCATGGGGGACTCCCAATCTGAAGGGGCTGTGGCCAGCCTGCAGACAGCCATCAGCCCCTCACCCAGGCTGGCAAGCCTCCACTTGGAGCTTTGGTGGCTGGGGGCCATGGCCAGCCTGAAAACAGCCCTCAGCCCCTCCCCAGGCTGGCCAGGAACCCCATGGGGGACTCCCACCCTGAAGGGGCTGTGGCCAGCCTGCAAACAGCCATCAGCCCCTCACCCAGGCTGGCCAGGCACTCCTATATAATAAAAGGGTAATATGCAAATGGACCCTAACAGCAGAATGACTGGGAATAACTGGTCACTATGACACACACTGACCACCAAGGGGCAGATGCTCAATGAGGAGCTGCCCCTTGGTGGTCAGTGCGCTCCCATAGGGGGAACTCTTCTCAGCCACAAGCCAGGCTGACAGCTGCCAGTACAGCGGTGGTGGTGGGAGCCTCTCTCACCTCCTCAGCAGCACTAAGGATGTCCGACTGCAGCTTAGGCCTGCTCCCCGCTTGCAAGTGGACATCCCCCAAGGGCTCCCGGACTGCCAGAGGGATGTCTGACTGCCAGCTTAGGCGGGAGCGGGCCTAAGCCAGCAGGTGGTCATCCCCCGAGGGGTCCCAGACTGCAAGAGGGCACAGGCCAGGCTGAGGGATCCCCCTGGGTGCACAAATTTTTGTGCACCAGGCCTCTAGTTTATTTTATAAGGCACATTTTCACAACTGATCTAAGGAGACATCTTTATCTTACAAAATTTATGGATGGATTTTAGTAACTTACTAAACCTTCTATTCTGTTCAGTTAATTTGCATTCAAATGAATGTGAAGAACAATGAGGTAATATTTGGTATATAAAACACTTTGGGAAATGGTGGAGCAAGGTGATATTTAGGAAAAGCGCAGCACACTTGGCAGGTTATGTTTCTAAGACAACCCCAAAACAACAGGACATGTACAGGTGGGGGTGGTCAACAGGCTCCTGTTTGGAGCCTTAAGGCCTAAAGCTGAGGCAAATAGGCTGATGTTCCCTCCTGGAACCAGGTATCATCATGGAAACCTCTTAGGAAGAAATGGGGGAGAACTACAGGTTCTTTCTTAACTTACCTGACAATTTAAAATCAACATGCACAATGCAAGGCTGTGTCCTCTTTATTCCCACCTTTGGACGGTAAATAAAAGCTTTACATTCAGAAACTAAATTAGTAGATTGTTCCAAATTTCATTGATAAAATCATCCAGTCCCAAAAATGTTTCTTTAGATAACTTGATAAATCTTAGTTCAGGACAGGGTGAAGTAGATGTACTTCCAAAGTTTACACTCTATGAAATATCAGGTTACTGGCTTATGTGGGGGAGAAACAAACTTCCCTCTAAACTCAAGGTTCTTTTCTGGTCTAATAATCAAATAGATATGACACAGATTAGCAACAGAAAATAACCACCTGTAAGACACACGTGTGGATAGGCCCCTCACATACATGAGGAGTCAGAGACCCTGCCTGCAGGAGAGGCTGAATCAAAAAGAAAACGTGGGTACACAAGGCATTCGGAGCTTGGGGCCTTCCAGTCCTTGCAAAATGATGAGCAGATGCTTTAGGAGATGCTATCTCTAATGTGTACACTAGGGGGCAGCAGAGAAGAGCATTTCCTTGGGCAGGAAAAGGGCGGGGCCACAGGTTCTTTCTGAGTCCTGCTCCTCCACAAACAGCTTAAGATCAAGATTCCAATTATTGACATCAGGGTGGCAGAATTTTGATCCCTTCATAAGCAATGTGAATTGTTTGTGACACCAGTATTCTTTAGATTGGTAAATGCATGAACAAACTCCTTTCTAGAATAAACTTTCTCATAGTACAATTTTTTATGTTCCACAGGACATGTTTGCTAATAGTGTGGCCTTGACTTACGAGTGTCCCGACTAACGAGTTTTTCGAGATATGAGCTCTCTCTCGGCCGATTTTTTGCTTTGAGTTGCTAGCTAAAATTCAGGTTATGAGCCAGATCAGATACCCCACCGCTAGTTGGCGCAGCGAACGTCACAGTGAATGCCACAACATCAGCCCAGCATCACGTGTCTCATTCATTCACTGTTGATTTGACATACGAGTAATTTGAGTTACGAGCTCCGTTACAGAACGAATTAAACTCATAAGTCAAGGCTCCACTGAAGTCCCAATGTCTTTAGTTCCTCTATAAGATGAAGCTGTTATAGTGTACCCGTGAATCACACCTCAAGAAGTCGAATTAAGGAGTCATATTTATTGCAAATCCGGGACTACGAGGGGGCATTTCACTCTCCCAAATCTCGCAGTGTCCTCCCAGCTGCAACACCAGATTTATATAGGCAAAAATCACAAAGGTATTGATTACATACCAGGGTTTGTAATGAGGAACCTGGTTCGCAAAAAAGCAGTTTACAGAAGCAGAATTAAGCATGTTCATTATACTTTTGGGTCTCCAGATCACTGAGTTGACAGGAACACGTTATCTAGAGCCCTCGGGTCTTGGGACCACTGAGTTGACAGGGAAACATTATCCGGAACCCTCAGGTCTTGGGATAATTGTGCTGTCCTGGTTCCCAGGTACAGAGGAATTTGCTTTCTAAAACCAGTAAGATCACAATCAATGGGATATTCACATTACAATCAATAAGGCATTCAATCAAATGGGATGATTTATATAATTCAGAAAATCAAAATAACTTTTCTATTGTTAAGCCAAACAGCAGGGTTAGAGTTAAACTACAGTTTCTACCTGCGATGATTGCTACCATACTTCAAAGCAAAGCATGAATAAATCTATGTTCAGTAACCCCACTCCTCACCCAAACTCTCTATATCACAGCACACAATACACTAACACACACACCATTTCCCACACCAGCCACCCCCTGCTGGCCCTCTGTAGGCAGACAATCTTCCTGCCTCATCTTTCCTCAGGTTTGTGGAGACGCCCCAGGGCCTATGGAGATGCCTCTACATGTCTGCTGAGGCTCAGCAACATGGCGCCACCTGAGGCAGGAGAAGTGTCTCGGGCTCGATTCCTGGCCCGGCTGAGCTGCAGGACAGTCACTGGACGCCAGCACCACAGGCTGACCGCACAAGTGCCATGTGGGTCAGAGAGGAAACTCAGGTGCTCCCTGCCAAGAACATGACCCCCTGGGAGAAACTGCAGGCACCTGGAGATTGTTGCTGTTCTTTTCAAATGCTCACTCTTTAAGGACTGTTCTACACTGTAACTAAGAATCAATGAGCTTGATTTTTTAGTTTCCAGAATTTGCCATCAAAAGCTTTTCTCTTTGAAATTGTAACATTTGTCATATTGTGACGTTCTCAGATTACCTACAGGGGACACAATTTCATTAACATAAACTTCTGGTTTCTAGAACACCATGCGTCCAGACCCTGACCTCATTTTAAATCCGAAGAAAGTTGTTCCACTTTATTTAATCATTAAAAAACTCAAAAATAAGAGAGAATTTTTCTACCTCCTCACATGATATTTCTTCATGTTTTTTTCCCCAAGCTTAAACTGCCTATATATGTGTGTGTCTGCACTTAATCATCACTAATTATAGAGAGAGAGAAAGGGGAGACAGACAGAGAAACATCCATGTGACAGAGAAACATGGGTTGGTTGCTGGGATCCCAGCCTCACCCTTTGATGTGCACAGGAGGACAGTCCAGCCGACCGGCAGCTCTACACAGGTATCTCCGTAGCTAACACACATCATTGCTTTTGTAAAGCTGGGGAGAGCAAAACAAAAGTAGCTTAGCACAGAAGAAGGAACAGGAGAGAGCCAGCAGGGCACATTGCTCTCTAGACAGGAGCCTAGGGGCTCTGTGGCTCCCGGAGAAACAAAACTCCAAGTGACAAAAGTGAGCAGAGAAAGCTGGCCTCACTGTGGCACCAGCTCTCATCCCGACCACAACCCCATAGCCAGCCCACCTCCCCCCACCCTCAGCTCCTCCCCTGCTCCCCTCTCCCCTCAGGTCCCAGCCATGCTGCTTCCTTCTCTTCCTTCTTCAGGCAGTTTCTGCACTTTGGGAATGTCAGGGAATTTGTACAATTTTTCTAAGTTGTGGCGTCTAGTATTAGGAAACTATTTATGTCACTTACTTCAAACCTAAATTGGTAACTTGTGTTTTCTCTTTTTCTTTCTGATTAGTCTAGTTAGGGTTGGATAACATTTATTGATTTTTTTCCAATAAACAATATTTGGTTTCAGTACATTTGTATAGTGTTAGTTTATTTACTCTTTCACAAGTACTCATGTCTTTAACTTTTTCAGCTATATACCTTGGGCCTAGTTTGCTCGTTTTTCTATCTTAAGGTGGCAGTTAGGGCTACTGACTTTATGCTTTTCTTTGCATCTAATATAACAACATTTTTCTTAGTTACCTAATTTCATTCCACAAATTTTAATGGGTTGTGTTTATATTCAGTTCCAAATATAGTCTAATTTTTCTTGTGATTTTTTGTCTTTGACCCTTTTATACTGAGGGCCATTTGGATATTTTTAACTTACAAAGTTATGAACTTAAAAATTAGCCTGTTATATTTGGTCACACATTGAATTAACCTCCCCTAATGCCATGCAGGGGCAGACCCAGTGATTTCTCAGGCCTTACAAAGGCCCACAGGCCAGACCTTCCCCAACCCTGATGTAGAATATTGTAGTTTTATTCCCAGCTATTTTTTGACTGAATTCTAATTCTAAACTTTCATATTTTGTATGAAAGAACGTACAATTCTTTTCCACTGAGACATTTTTGTGGCCTAGAATGTAGTCTATGTTGGTGAATATTCCCAATACATTTGGGTGGAAAATGCTCTCTACTGTTGTTGGATAGAGGTTTCTATAAATGACAAACTTAAATCAAGTAATAAACCATAACTCTCAGGCTCAGATATTCTATATCCATGTTGAGTTTTTTTTCTAATTTGTTCTATCAAATTCTAACACTCTTGAGAGGAGAGTGTTAAAATCTCAAGGTTTTCTAGAATTGTCTATTGCTTCTTTCAATTTTGTCAGTTTTGAGTATTTTGAAGTTATATTATTTAATCATACATATTTAGGAGTATCTTCTTGTTGAAATGATCTTTTTCATTATTATGGAATCGCACTTTTTAACACTGATGATTTTCATTGTTCTAAGATTTCTTTAATGTTAATTTATATAACCACTTCACTTTTCTTATATTAATGTAGTCACCACAGCTTTCTTATAAGAATTTTTATGTCATTTTAAAGAAATCATTTTACTTGCACACCTCTTGGTCCCTTTATAACTTTACAATTAAAATTTGGGGAGCAGGGTGTGGGGAGCTGATATAGGATTAAGCCTCAGACTGACCTGTTGGCAAAGTCACAAACAAGTCCCAGCTTAGAGGGCACAGTCCTCTTAGCATAATTAGGCTTGACCTTATAACACTCCCTAGATCTTATCTGGGAAGCTAATGGGCTGAGGGAAGTGCAGGAAGTGTAACTATGGTCAAAACAAGTGAAACTCACAAGAACAGTGTAACTATGGTAACCACTACTTTGTTTACCTCTGACTATAAAATGGTTGGTGCGGCTTGAGCACCAGTAGAAGTCCTTCCTCTTGAGTTGGACTTACCCGCCTGGCCCCCCAATATTCCCAAATTATCTCTTGTCTTTTCTCTTTTATTTGTGTGTGGCTCCTCTTCCAGATCCTGAACCCTGAACCACGTGGAATGTGGAGGGAAACATTTACAACATCTGGCACCCGACGGGAAATCTGGAAGTGAAGGCTTCACCTAGAGCAAAAAAACGAAGAATTCACCGTAAAGGTGGGAAAGAATTCACCGCATGCAAAGCCCACGATCAGCTGCAGAAGTCGCGATCTGTAAGTAGGGTGGGAACGTTTTCTTAGCCAGGCTAATGGGGCAGGATTCAGCGTAAAAAGTAAGAAACTTTATTATAGATTTTTGATTTGCATGCTTAAGAATTTAAAGCTTCAGAAAGTAATCTCTTATAATTTTTGCTTGATGTTATAGAACATAACCCTTGGTTTCTTGAAGAAGGTACATTAGATCTTGAATGTTTGGCAAAAAGTTACTCAGAACTTGCTCATCAGCAGGAAAAAACTTGCCTCCAAAAACTGTTTTCCCTTGTGGAACACGGTATTTCATTTGCTAGAGCCTTTAAGAGAGGCCAAGGAGGATAAATCTCCTCTCCTTGCACTCTCCGCCCCTAAAGAGAAGCAGAAAGAAAAGAAAAAATGAGAGGAATGGCCTTCATGGCTCCCTCCACCTCCATATCCTAATCCTGAAATATTTAATTCTCCGTTAATAGAACCACCTGTGAAAAAGGCCAAATTATAAAGAAATTGTAATATTAAAAGTTACTCTTTAAATCAGGCTGAAAAAAGAGTGCCATGGTCATCTTAATATGGTTTCTTGTCCAAATTAAAATCTTAATATGTATTTGGAATCTGAAATCTGTAATAATAAATGAAACCCTGCTGCCGAATCTACCTCTGGTGCGGAGAGATTCAAAGGTGGCAGGAGAGGGCAGAGCTATCGGCTCGCCCGAAAAAGACTAGCTTTGTTTAAAAATTAGCGGAGAACATCTTATGATGACTAAATTTTGGCTAAGATAACCTTGGGTGCTAGCTATTACTTTGGAAAGCGAAATAGGAAAAAATTTAAAATGTCTTTTTCTATTAAGCATGACTTTGGGGGAAAAAAAAAATACGCCATCTGAGTCACTTGCTGAAACTTCCCCCAAAGCGGGGAAGGGAAGAAGGGAGCACATGGCGATCCAATATGGACACCCCCTCCCCAAGTATTCTAATTTAGTCTCCTTCTCGTAATTGAAAAGTTTTACAAAATTTAAAAATGCGTCTGGGATTTCTGTGCATGTGTAAAGAGAAAAGCAGGTTTAAAACTAATGCGCACAACTGTCCTGTTTTTGGACATTTAGATAGAGTTTTGAGCTGGAATCTCTTTGCAAATGTACAAAATAAAACCCAAGACTGATTATTTCCTAAGAAAAAGGCCAATTTGACCCAAGGAAGAAGTGCAGGCAGGTTCTAGCGGTGGGATTGGGTTTTCTATGATAAAGAGTAGTTTTGGGATGCTAGTGAACCACGTTTAAAACATATGTAATATATTAATTATGAAGGTCCAATGGCCCAGGAAGAAACTAGCTTAGCTCTGACATTTAAATGGACCAGGTTAGACCAAACTTGTTTCGCCAGCAGAAAACAGTTTCCGTGGCTGCGATCTCGTGGCCAATTTTGAAATTTCTCACCGGCAAGCAACCAGCAGGAAACAATGTAGCTACAAGTTTGCTTCTTGACTTTCCCCAGAAAAAAATATGGTCGTTTTAAAGTCAAGGGCTGGGCCAGGCCTGTTTGCCAGCCTCAAGCGTGGTTTTCCAGAACCGCTGGGAACTTGGGACCTTGGAGTTTATGGAATCAAATGACAAAAACTTATACCTAGGTATTTTGAAGTGAAATAATGCTGAAATATTGATCTGAGTGTGCCTCGTACGAAATCTAGAGGACAGAATTGAATATAATCTTTAAATCTTATATACACATATATATTTGATGATCGTTCAAGTTGGATTTCAAAACTATAACCAAGGAATGACTTTGGGACATTTCACAGGCCCTGAAATGTTTTCAAAAGTTTATTCTCTCTTTTTAAAGGATTTTTTAATTCAACCAAATTTAATGACTTTGACTTGAAATACATGACCTTGCGGCACTATCAGTCAACATCCAAGAAGTAACCCTGTAGGTTACTTGGTGTAAAAGAAAAAGATTTTTCTTTTTTACATTGAAATTCTCCAAGTGTAACCCAGCTGTGAGAGGACGAGGATACTGATTGGAAATTACTCTGCAAGAAAATAATAGAAAGATGTTTTTCCTTCAAACATCTGGAGGACTGTAATTAAATGTACTAGGTTTAATATAGAAAGGTAAATAATTTGGGTTTTTGCCTTCCTGAATGTAGCTAGTGTAAAGTTACTGAAAGACTAATTGAAGAAATTTAATTAATGTCATTTCCAGTTTAAAATTGAATTGCCATGGCCTAGAGAAAAGAATATCCTTACATGATATTATTCTACAATGTCATTAATAATTTTTGAGATTTTACAACAGCATATTGTACATTTATCCCAAACAAACAAACAAACTAATTCTCTGAATGTTTGGCAGCAATTTAATAAGGACATGAAAGGATTTAATCCCTTCCACTGTGTGGAAGGCCCCCTGGGAAGGCACTTGAGCATTCTGTATTGACCTCTCTTGCCCTTTTTGCCAAGAGGGTCCCTCTTCTTACAATCCAATTGCCCACAGCTGTTGCCTGAGCTCTCTGTTCATGCTGAGGTTGAAGCCTCATGGTGGCTGGTACCATGGATCTGTCTCTCGCCCAATGGTGTGAGCTGGGCCCTCCCTGGAGAAGAAACCTGGGTTCCCCAAGATATGTGATCAATGCCGGGGCCCCGCCAGCAGGGTGGGGATCCCAAGGCAGTTGCTGGGTGTGGAGGCCACAGGGGCATAGGCTACCAAGGAAACAGAACTGAACCTTACATCACCCTGCTTGGCCCTGGAGGATGGCTGGCTAGCCAGAGATGGGTAAGATTCCTCCAGGAAGGAACAACCTAAGACAGGCACAGTCGCAGAGGGGCCATCAGGAGAGAACTTGGGGGTCAACAGAGGTGGGGCACAGATCCTCACCCCCCCAACTATGCAGGGGCTTGAACACTTGCCCCTTCTGAGGGAGGTCTCCTGTCCCCATGGCTGCTTCCCGCTTCCCATGCCCAGCTCAGATCCAGACCCAGATAACAGAAAGAGACTTAGCCCAGCTCAGATCGGGACTGAAACAACAGAGACTTGGCTGACAGCAGCTACCCTATATCTAAATCCAGCCTAACACCAGGAATGCTCAGGGCCTTCTCAAGGATGCAAAATAATCCTTTCCATTAATATTTACAGTGTAACTAAGATTCTTGTTAGAGAATTAAATTTGACAGTAACGAGTTTAATTGAAATAAGTAGTATTAACCAAAATTTTCATTTCATGGTAAAATTGCTTAACATGCAATGAACCTAAAGGAGTCATATTTTTGTGCAAAAAATTAAAAATTTAAAGTTATCTAGACTACATTATAAAAATTTTCCAAAAGCCTCCAATAATTAAATAAAAAAGGGGGGATAGTGGAAAAATACCATGTAAGGAAATATATCCTGTAACTAAATCACATCTAGAAAAAATTTTTTCATTTGTAATGCTAACAGCAAGACACCCATGAAAAACATACACGGTGTCAAAATAAGCCAAAGGAAAATTATTTGGGCAAATATAAAAAGGATCCCAAGTAAAACTCCCTTTATTAACTTTTGGTCGAGAATATGTTTGTATATTTTCAGAAAACAACTACAAGACCATGTGAATTCCTGCAACAGGGAGGAATTATCAGGAATTCTCCAGCCATGAAGACAAGAGGAAAAACAATTCAGAGATGGAAGACACTCACGACGCTTTGCCATGCTAGCAGTCAGCAGCTGTGTGTCGCTGCAGGTTGCCCAGGATCAAACCAGAGAGGGTCAGACCTGCATTGCCACCATTTGTCCACCATCCAGAAATGAAATAACATTGCTGACATCTACACATAAGGAACTGTCGGACATTGAAACTTGGACTCAGAACTGTTGGATATCGAAATTGAGACTTAAACATTTTTGTTCTTGATGCTTAAGTTTTACTTTTATTATGGTAGCTTCTTGTTCTTGATGTTTAAGTTTTATTTTCATTATAATAGCTTAATAATAAAAGAAGGGTGAGATGTGGGGAGCTGATATAGGGTTAAGCCTCGGACTGACCTGTTGGCAAAGTCACAAACAAGTCCCAGCTTAGAGGGCACAGTCCTCTTAGCATAATTAGGCTTGACCTTATAACACTCCCTAGATCTTATCTGGGAAGCTAATGGGCTGAGGGAAGTGCAGGAAGTATAACTATGGTCAAAACAAGTGAAATTCACAAGAACAGTGTAACTATGGTAAGCACTACCTTGTTTACCTCTGACTATAAAATGGTGGTACTGCCTGAGCACCAGTGGAAGTCCTTCCTCTTGAGTTGGACTTACCTGCCTGGCCCCCCAATATTCCCAAATTATCTCTTGTCTTTTCTCTTTTATTTGTGTGTGGCTCCTCTTCCAGATCCTGAACCCTGAACCACGAGGGATGTGGAGGGAAACATTTACAACAGCAGGGGCCAGCTGGCATGGCTCGGTGATTGAACATTGTTGATCTATGAACCAGGAGGTCCTAGGTTTGATTTCCAGTCGGGGAACATGCCCTGGTTGCGGGCTCGATACCCAGCGTGGGGCATGCAGGAGGCAGACAATCAATGATTTTCTCTCATCATTGATGTTTCTATCTCTCTCTCCCTCTCCCTTCCTCTCTGAAATCAATAAAAACATATATATATAAAAGTGAGGTGGGGATAAGGGGGACATCTGTAATACTCGAAACAATAAAGATTAAAGAAAGAAAAAGGGGGCCTATTTATGAAGAATTAATTCACTTAATATATTCAGAACTATCCTTTAAAAAACTAAAATAAAATTAGATGGTTGGTTGTTTTTTTTTTTGGTACTAAGCATCTCAATAAGTCTTTTAATCCAGTCATACATTGTCTGCCTTTTTTATTTGACGATTTAGTCCACTTCTTATTTCATTTCATTTGTTTTTTAATATCTTCACCCGAGGATATGTTTACTGATTTTATTTATTTATTTATTTATTTATTTATCTATTTATTAGCAAGAGAGGGAGAAAGAGAGAGACAGAAACATTAGTGTGAGGGAGAAATATGAAAATATCGAACCCACAACCTAGATATGTGCCCTGACTTGGAATCAAACACTCAGCCTTATGGTATATAAGGCGATGTTCCATCCACCTG